CTCTGAAAGGCTCAGCCAGGATCAGGATTTTCAGAACAGATTCCATGGCAAAATTTATCAAAGGCCCAGGCAGAGCCTGTTTTTGCCTTTTTTTGGGGTGAACAATTGGGTTTGATATCCTGTGGAGCCTCTCTCACCTCAAGAGAAGTCATCCATGCCCAGCTGGGTCTGGATGGTTCTTATGTCTGAGTTGGCTGTGTGCTGAGGCAGAGGCCAGCCACAGAAATTTTCAACAGTGGTATAGAGAAATAATATATGTATTATTTTAAACTGCCCGTGGGTTTGGAGAATGGAGGTATAAGTCAGAAGTGAAAGGGATAGGTTGCTGTTTTCTCATTAAAAAAAATCAACACTACTTCAGTCACTCAGATGGAGGCATTAACAGCATAGTTAGTGCTGGTTAAGTCTTTCGTCTGTCAATCACTTGCCCCTTGAAGGTCAGAACTCCCATTTGTAGGTCAATATACTGGTCCTCGACTCCCTTTTTCCTGTCCTTTGAGTCCCCCCATCCTTTTGTTTGTCCATCCTTGTTCAGGAGCAGGTGTGAGGGATGGGCAGGACCCTGCTGCAGGGATGGATTGATGTATTCTGCCCTGGTTGTTAGCATCAGGCAAGGTTGGGTTGGTCTTGCTGGTGCTGAGAGAGGGAATGTGGTTTGGAGCTGTGGGCACTTCTACTAAAATGCAGTAACATGCTTTTGCTTTTTTGCTCCTTCCTGGGCATGAAGTGGGTCTATTCCCTGATACCTCAGACTGGTGAATTTTTAACACTGTTTCTAGGGGGAAAAAAAGGCTATTTCACCATGCAGATTCTGTGGAGTAAAGACCTTTCACTGCTTTCATCTCACTGCTGTTATGATTGGCCTCAGTGTTTCCCATTACAGTGAGATTCCAGACAGGATGATGGTGGTGTGCATCCCCATCCTTCTATCCTGCATTACATTCCACCTGCCTTTTACCCTGCAAAGGTAAAAGGTATCCCACAGCTTTTCCCTCCCCACCCTCCACCTAGAGCTTGTTTTTCCCTCGTGTGCTGGGCTGCAGAGATGACTCCCCAGTGCTGACTGTGGAGAGGCTGTTTTATTTATATGGTCTGTCTTACTCAGGGAAGCGATCGATGGAAGGATAATCACGCCATTTCAGACAGACTGCTTGTCTCACTGAAGCATAACAAGCACTGACAGGACGCAGGGGAGGATGTGTGTTTGTGTGTGCTGCACACATGTGAGGCAGGGAATGTGACAGAGTGAACCAATGCAATGTCCAAATTTGCCCCTCCAATCAGCAGGCTTAGGAGGAGCTGATTCCAAGCAAGGCACTGGAGGAAGAAGTAGGAGCGGCTAGTGCCGATTTCAAATGTGTCTCCTTCACACCTGTCTCTGGGGCAGTAAAAATTTTGATTGGCACCCTTTCTGTGTTCCCTCGAGCCCCCTGTGCCCACCACCTGCCTCTCAAGGCTTTCTCCATCATGGCTGAAACCATTTAAAATGCCATCATCTCTCTGCTGGTCCTAAATTGGCCATCTGATGTGGTTTTAATGCTCTATTTGCAAGGCTTTAAAACGCTCTCCCTTAACTTTCAGGGCTGACAGATTTACATCTAAGATGGTTGATTTTGCCTCAGAGCCCGAGATGGGGACTTAGGTACCCCTGGGTCTAATTTGCTTTGTGCTCAAGGGCAAGTCCCTCTGTTCCTGCCTGCTTGTCCATACCACACGGCTCACGGCACCAGCCTGTTCCACAGGCTCTGTATGTTTTTCTCTTACCTGCCTGAGTTTGGGCATTGCATCTGCTGCATTTCCACCAGGCTGGCGAAGGGCTCAACCCTTTTGTGCTTGCATTAAGTAGTTCCAGAAGTTGCCACATAAGCAAAATCTTTTGCTGAAAGGTGCTTCTAGCAAATTAAATTAAATTGCCTGTGTCAGCCCCCACCATGCCCACTTTCTCTAACTCTCTCCATTTTGGAGTGCCAAACATGCAGGGATTAAGATTTTTACAGGCAGTTTCCTCCTGGTTTACATCACCTGCATGCACAACCTGCATGCCCTCATGTTGTGCCCCTGTTACATCTGGTGGCTCTGTTCAGGCATGTCAGGAAGTCTCTCAGCCCCCTGCTTGCCTGCTTAGAGACTGGAGTGTGTATAGGCTGTAGGGAGGAACCAAATCCCCCTGGCCAGAGCAGGCAGCAGTGGTGCTGGTGTACCAGGGCAGCAGTGCTGCCGAAGGGGGTGACTGCTGCTGCAGTAATGATGGAGGGCAGAGCCACTCGAGTGTGGCTGCCTTGCAGCATGCTGCTCACTCGGCCTGCCTAGGAGTCCTTCAAGCCCCGATGCTTTGTCACATAGGCTCAGTGCTCCTGAGCAAGCCCTGCAGCTCCCGTGAGCTGCTCTCACCCTGCATCCCTGTGTTAGCTGGCAGCTTAGGTACAGGAGAGCAGGGAAAGATGGGGGGGATGCCACTTCTTCTGCACTTCTCCTGCAAACTTTTGTAAACATATTGCTAATGGGTTGGGGAGAAAACACTCTGAAGAGTTATATTGCCAAATTTGGGGACTAATTTCAGTCATTAAGGTGTGAAGCAAGGGATTTTAGTGCTACTTTAAGTGTAAATCTCAAGGCAGCTCCAAGGATCAGAGTTGTTGATGATCCTGCTTGATTATTATTAGAGGTTCTAATCTTTCCAGTGAAAATGAGCATAAATGACACCCTCTTGTCTCATATCTGTTGCTGATTTCTATGAACTCTTCTTTTCAAGCTGTGCAAGGGAAATTCCTGTAGTGGAATCATTCTTGGGTGTGAGGAGAAAGGGGGTTGAGAATGGTTTAATATTGGTGTTTGTTTAATTAGATGTTGGCATTGCTTACTCATTACTGACATACAAAGCTGCAACTCCCATCAGGCTATTGGCATCCTCATCTTCTTGGAGCCTTTCCTTGTCTTTACTCTGGTGGCCAGTCATGAAGTTGTAATCTTGGTCCACTGGAAGATCCCTCTCACCATTACCAGAGCCTTAATTAGGTCTTGTAGGGTGCACATACCTGGCAATGGTCCGTGCCTGGCATTCCTCAGTACCAGAACAATTCACACAGCTGGGAGAAAACAAAAAAAAAAAACCAGAAAAAGAGCATGTGTTTCTCTGACATGGGATGTTTTATGCCATTACAAACAATTGCATGGTTAAGATTTTCCAGGTGGAGCATGTTCTGGGGTTCACTCAATGTTCCAAATGGCTTTGGGGTTCCAAATGGCTTTGGTTTTTGGAAAATAACCAATAGCCTGCCTTTGAAAATTGTCCTGTTGCAGATGTTTCATGCTGGGCTCCCTTATGGCTGTATTTTCAATGCTGAACATGTCCCTTGAAGGTCACAACATGGAGCAAGTGTGGAATTTCCTTTAGAAATAAACACGATTTCTGATTACACTTGGCAATGGGGAGATAGTAGATGAGTTTGGTTGATTAATGGAGTTAAAAGAAAAAAGTTTGAAAAAGGAAGAAACTAATGACCTGCTTTTTTATTTGTTTGGAGTTTCCCTTATACAATGATTTCATTAGATTAGCAGGGAGGTCTCTTTGTGCAGATAGTAGGAAAGCAGGAACCCACTGAAAGAACAGATTTTTCCCCCTCTTATTTATTTTCTTGAAATTGGTTCAAATTGACTTCATAAGGGAGAAATTGAAGCTGAATATTAGGAAATGTTTCCTGATGTAATGGTGTAATAGAATAGGAAACCTCTCATGCCTGTAATAGAAATGTTGCTTGTGTAATTTATAGAACTGTGCAAAGTAGGGGAGTGCAGAGTCCAGGGGCCAGCCCTGCAGGCAGCTTGGTCACCTCTGCCTCTCATGGTGATGTGATGCTACTGGTGCCAGAGCAGATTTACAAAGGTAAAATCTACTTCATGCAACAGGATTGTGAATTGAAGTGAAATATATGAACAGGGTAAACTGTCAGAGTGCCATGGCGATGTCATATAAACCACTGAACTGTGAAATGTGTATTTACCTCCTCTTCCCTATAGTGTATTTCTAGATGGTCTGACAGTTAAGAAAACAATAGACCTGATTCTTTTTTTACAGCAACACTCCTTTAACATGCTCTCACAGTGCAGCAAGGTCTTGAAATCTCAGTCCACTTAAAGGCCTTCCCTATTGCCAGAGCTGAGTAAGGAGGCTTTAGAATAAATGAGATTGAAGTCCGGATTGTTTAACTGTCCATTTGTGCAGCTGACATAAAATGCCCCAATAGGGAGTGCCTTCTGCAGAAGTGATGGGGCCTTTCCAAAGAGAATTGCTGATGTTGGCTGCAGGGCTGATAACCCTTTAACTTGATTTTACTGGGTGTAAAGCTTGACTCTGTCCATAGGAAAAAGGACTTGCAGCAGCTTCTTTCAACATCCTTGTCCCTATTCTAAGCTCCTTCACAGGATCATTCTGGGCCCCATGAGGAGTGCTGGCTCTGATAGGGATAGAGCTTCTTGCAGGTGTGCTGCTCCTTCCTCTGGTCTCCACTGCTTCCCGAGTCATTGCCTCGATATTTGGGCTGGGGGGAGGCTGTCTCCACTGCTTCAGCTTTCGCCCATCACTGTCCTCAAGTGGCACGCAAAATCCCCTTTGGAGAGTGAGCAAAGTGTAGGCTGTGGAGTGTGTTTACACATCTGATTGCTAAGGATCCCTCTGCCCTTTGAGGCAGAGGGAAAACAGGGACTGTGGGCATACGTATGTGTGTGACTCTTAGACATGCTTTTAGGAATTCATTGAGAGCCAACAGTACATCACTTCCCTATCCCAGCCACAAAATGGGGGCAATTGCCCTGCCTTGCCTGATGTCCCAATTTCTGGACTAATTGTCCTGTTTTTCTCACTCCCTTCCTCTTAGATTTTCTACTGTTTTGCACTGTGCTTCTACCCTCCTGATGTGAGCTGAAGAGGGAAGGCAAGGTCTCATTTTGGTTTTTGTTTACCAAGCATTAATGTTCTCCTTGCTTTCTTCTCTCTCCTGCAGGTACCTGATCAATGTCACCTTTGAAGGCAGGAATTTGTCGTTCAGTGAGGACGGATACCAGATGCATCCCAAGCTGGTCATCATCCTTTTGACCAAGGAGAGGAAGTGGGAGAGGGTAGGATATGTTTGGTAATTCTCCAACTGTGTCAGGGAAGAAGAAGGGAGAAGGCTCCATGCAAATAATCCTCCCCGCCTTTCTGTACTTCTTATCAAGGGCTGGCAATCTGCTTCTCGTATCCTGGACCACTGGTGTCTCCAATGCCCAGGCTGCTGTCTTCTACATGCAGGATGCCATTACAGTCTTCCATTAGCATGCATAAAAAATTCATCAGCTTCCTTTCTGTAATCTCTGAACATAAATTTTCCGGCCTTTCAGAGAAGATGCCTCCTCTGTACCATGAGTTTCAATGGCTGAGACAGAAAATATTTCTCTGTATGGCTTGGTGGCAGTGACATTCTGTACACTAAATGACTATGATTGAGCTACAGCCACACTTAGTAATTTATGCCAGTATTAACTGTACTTGATATATCTGGCCAGTGTCCCTTGCAATGGGATGGTGTGTTAAGCAGGATGTGAACGAACGTGAGATCATATTGAGTTGTTCAAAGATCCAAATGTGCATATTTTGGAATAATTTGCAAAGCACCATTTTAGAAATGGTGTGAATTTCTGACTTAGTGGCAAGTTTTGGTTCATTTCACCTCCCACACAAATGTCAATGGTCCAGGCTCCAAACAAGTATTCCCAAAGGGTTTCTGTTGAAGCAGAGGGAGTAGTTTAAGGGCTAAGAAAATGAGATATAAAAAGTGTTTTGGGTGTGAGAAGTCAGAAGAGGAAAAGGAAGAAAAATTCATCAGAGCACTCAATAGATATGAAGGAGAAGTTGGTCTGTGTGCAATCATGTGTATGGCTTAGAAAAAAAAAACCCTTTGTCTCCTGTATGGACTTGCAAGTGACTTGCTTAGTGAAAGTGAAGAAGCAATTAATGGGGAAATGAGAATGAGATGGGGAGCTGTCAGGAGAAGTGTATTCAGAAAACAGCTGTAAGAACAACTTACAGCTTGTGAATGAGGCAGAAGAGCAATCACTTTAGTGCCTGGCAGGCACTAGGGTCTCCCAGTAGTTGCAGGAACTTGGGAAGAAGGTGAAAGCCCCCAGCTTGTGCCTGATTTCCAGGAGGACCTATCTACCTCATGGTCTTGGCACTGTTCAGACCAGATGAGGGTGTGGTCTGGGAGATTCAGAAGAGGTCTCAGTGGGCCAGGAGTGTGAGGAAACAAAGGGCATGGCATAGCATGTGTGGACAACTCTTGGACATAGCTGAAGGCAGACTGTCTAGATACTGCACAGGGTGTGGACATGCAAAGCTCAAGCTGTAGAGACCTCATGTCAGGCTCAGCTCATCACTCAACTTCATTAAAGCTTACCAGGAAAAGTCCAGGAGGATTTGTTCCTAGCTGGCACCACATTTGTTCTCATGGGGGAAAATTCCATTGTCAGAGAAGGAAAATGAAGCAGTAGCAACATGAATCATCCTAGGGGTTATTAGCAGGCCTGGCTGTGGGAATCTGTTGCTGGAATGCTTTGCAGTCTCTGGGGAGGCACAGCTAAAAAGTCCTGTTTTTATCTTGCCTGTCATATGCTTCACATGTCACACCCTCAGTGAAGGCTTGGTGGCTTCCGTCAGTGGTAAGAAGGATTGTTCAGCCTCTGAGAATGTATTTGTGGTCTTTCAGATGAACTAGACAATTAGTAGAAGGGATCCTGGTTATCAGGAGTGTTGGGATTAGATTTGTGACTTGCTTGAGCCCTGCTGTCTGTGAGGACTACTTGGCATCCATTAAACCAAAACAGTCCTTCATTTCATAGGAGCTGGGGCTGGACTGAAATGAGGCTATGATGAACTATGGTATTAGTGGTAAGAAAAACACAATAGTGCTTCCTGGACATAGATGTTTTATCTTGAAGTGGGTATCTTCCTCAGAGATCAGATTATTATAATCAAACTCTGAACTGCCTGAATTTTATACTGGCATATTCTTTCTGGAAGACACTGAAGTAATCTCCAAAATGTTCCAATCACAGACCAAAACCTTTCATACCTGAAACCTCATGCTCTTTTTCTTATTTTTATTCCATTCAGCAGAAATGCAAACATGAAAATATAAGTGTGAAACAGAGATCTTTGTGACAAAAATCATAGTTTTGTTCCATGTTTGCAGAGAGTCAGATGACACAAACTGTTGGCCCTCAACAGCAAGTCCCAGGCAATGCCACAATACAATAAATTATTAATATATTTTTAGCACATAATTCCAACACCTTTATTGTGATTTGGAATGTTATCAAAATTCTCACTAATTTTATGTAAATAGCAAGGTGCTTCATCCTGGAACTTTTAGGCAAAAGGGCAGTAGGAGAGATGAGATGAAAGGCTGAGTGGGAAACACTGATTTGGTCCAGTTGCATTCACTGTAGCTCAGTCTTTAACTACATACTTATCTATAATCAAATGCTATGCCTGGAAGGAACATCAGGAAGTCAACTAGTCCCTCCCTGTGCCCCAAGAGAGGGTTTAACTAGACTGAAATTATTCCTGACACATATTTGTCTCACCTGTTCTGAGAGACCTTCAATGCTACAAATCCTATGAAATCCCAAGTCAATCTCTTCTATGTGTTCTTTCTCCTTGCCCTGCTAAGTTTTTCTGATGTCTAACCTAGATTTCACTGGCTGCAATTTAAGCCCATGAATACTCTGTGTCTCCCTAATGGACATAGGGAATTGTTTATTTTCTACCACTTCTTATCATCCCCATGTAGGTTTGAAGTCTTCTATCATGTTGTCTCCCAGTCATCTTTGGTGTAGGTTACACAAGAATTTGTTCAGTCCCTCTTGGTAGGTCATGTTTTCTAGTCTTCTGGCCATTTCTGTTAGTCTCCTCTGGATTTAGTAACACAGCTTGCAGGTCTGTACAGCTTGGCACATTGGATTCTTGAAATATGGCAAATGGATTTTGAGGGTATGTCTCATGGAGTGTATATAAAAAGATATGCTTTAAAATAGGTGTGAAGTCTTCCATTTTCTGAGCAGCAAAGATCCAGACAGGGACTGAACTGTTTCAGGATTTCAGGTCTGTGAAATCTTTCACAATTTTGATTTTTTTCCTCAATAAATATCTTCACAACCTCAACCTCACCAGTTATTTCAGAACAGGAATTAATTTTCCAGAGGAGCTGCAGCTGCCACCAGACTCTGATGATGATAAATCTCCTCATGAGGACTTCAGACAAACTGAAGCCTTGTAGGCCTGACAATCATGAAAGAACAAGAAGAAAACCCACTTTCTCCAAGGGGGCAGTAACTTGAGCTCTCCTGCTTGTCGTAACCATGAGTAATGATTCATCATGATAAGCAAATGTGCTGAATTTCATTCACTTTTCTGTACTCTGCTCCTTGGGGACAGAACACTGCATGCCTTTCCACACTACCTTTTCATCAGCTGGTTAGTAAAGCTCTTTTCTTCACTGGCCAGATAGCCTAGGTGTGTTTTGAGTACCTAGATGCCCCTGTTGTTTATCACAGAGGTGCAGGTATGCAGATGGAGGTGGTGAAGGATGTCTACTCTTATGCCCCATGAAGGATCATGCCTCAATGCAGTGATGAGTGGGGGCCAGATGTCTTGTCAAAGTGAGCCAGAGTCAGTACCATACTAGGTTTTGTGTCAGTGGGTTGTGATATTTTGTGGGAAGAGATTTCACCCAGTATTTTTCTTCACTATTTGCCTTTCCCTTCTGCTCTCCTATCATCCCACGTATAATGAGGACTTAATTCTGGGTTCACGATCCCTTTTTGAGGGCTAGCAAGTACCACTATCTCCAGCTCCTGCTTATATCCTCCATTTCTACTGACTCCTATCCCACTAGCTCCCCACCAACAGTTCTGTCCCATTAGCTCACAGATCCTCCCCATCTGCTTCCTCCCTTTCCCCTAGCAAACCTGGGGGTGACACAAATGTTGTGAACTTTGAGGCCCTCTTTCAGATTCTTTCTCTACTTTAATTACTAGTGAGTTTGGCATCTCTTCTATCACTAGTTTGTGCTCAGCCTCATCTCTTAGGTGTGCCACTGGGGATTCAGGGCACCTTTCCATGAGGCTCATGACACCAAGTTCTTGTACCATCCCACAGAACCCTTTGATTTACAAGCTCCCTCCATCTCTTAGCAAGCATGCCCCATTCACTCCTCTTCCTGTCTGGACAAGCAAAGCCCCAGGTGATGGTTTTGGTCAGGGTGCCACTTCAAACCATCTTAGAGAACAGATGGGAAACTTATGTTGAAAGATTCATTCTCCATGTACTAATCCTCGCCCCTTTCAACCTTCACCCCACTCAGCAGATAAAATGTTTGCCTGCTGCTGGTGCTATAATTATCAGCATTTGACTTTTGAACTCTTCAACTCCAGCAGGGTCTGTTCTGCTTCCTCTAGCCATTAGTGTGACCATGATTACAAATTCACAGGCAGGCTGCTCCTAGCCTGTACCCTTACACATTATGTACAATCCTTACACAGGACTGTACACACTAGTGCTCCCTGGGAATGAGGCAGTTTGCTGTGACATCCTCTCAGCTGCCTCAGTGACTGTAGACTTCCAGGACTTCCTAATGCTTCAGCAGAGTGGAAAATAGTGCCACTACTCTCTGCCACATGGACTCTTCAGAGATGTGTTCAACCTCGATCACAGTCTGCATAAGATTAGTTTGTGAACTTCTGTGACCCTGTCTCACGTTTGGGAGAGAGCACCATTATGCCCATCCACACCTGGGAAGACTTCCCCTGGGATATGGGAGGGAGATACAGAAAGGAAAGAAGGATTTAGGAAAAAAAAACAGAAAAATTAAGATTTCCCTTATCAAAAAAAAGAGGAAAGAGAACAAGATACATTTTTGGACACCTAAATGATTCTTGAAAAAAGGACATACTAGTCAAGTACTTTTCATGTCCCAGCAGGGAGAAAGAAGAAGTTGTCTTGCTAAATTGTCAAGCAGAAAGATTTCAGTTAGATATATAGGGATCTGTTGAATTATTGGCATGGTGAGACATGGTGAGGC